TTTCGTGCATAAATGAAATAAACATGGACATGTCATCAAGCGCAATGCACTATCTATTTCCGGTATATCATCAAATAGAAATGCCTCGGTTAAGACGTATACGTATATGTTCATTTCGTTCGTTCAAGGTGGTTTGTATGGCATCAATCCACGCGCGGATTTATGGGGAGGCAAATCAATTGACAAATCCAGTCCACCGGAGGTGCGCGGTCGCGGCGCGCCCTCTTAACTGAATGAATTTCTGGATTCGCCAGTATGATCGTGCAAACTATTCAAATGTCAATTTTTGTGTACAAGTAAGAGTGTTATTTTTTAGCTCAAGGCGCGCAATTTTTCATAAAATTGTAAACGAAGCCTGAAACAAATGTGTCTTACCTTCTAAGTTGTAGAGCTTGTGTTGTGTAACATGTACGTATGTATCAATTGAATATCTTCACCTTGTCATCGGATTGAGTTTGAAGTTAGGAATGACTGTCAATGTGGTAGATGCTGGAAGGGACTTCAGGTGTAGATTATTGTTGGAGAGTGTAGCTTTGGGGTATTATAATACAGCTTGATGGAGAAAGAACGTCGGGAGTTTAATCGATAGTGGAGAATGAAGAGTTTCACGCAACATCGATTCAAGTATCGCGACGATAGCGTGAATTCATTAGTCAAGTTACACGACTCTTATTAACTGTTGGCCGGCCTGTCCGTCACCCTAATGCAACCTTCGTCGAATATATTAATTATCACACACTCCGCTTCGGGAGTTAGCCAATCAGTGTAGTTTGGTTGGTGACGAAGCAGCATTGGCACACACAAAAAACATGTTGACGCCTGTAACAGAACAGTAATGGCCAGACAAATCATACGTTTGTGGAAAGCTTGTCGTCTGAATTCTTCGACTGTTTTTGTTGTAGGGAGGGTGTTGTCATTCTAAAAAAATATGAGTAACAGTTAAATGATAAACTGTAACATAAATACATAAAATGCGTAATAATATATTGATTAAAATCCCAAGCAACACTGTTTCAATGGGATATCGGCTGAAATGTGTATCTTCCTTTCATGTAGACGTTTCGAATAATTTATTAATGTGACTGTTAGCTTTAAAACATGATATAAACTTGTTTTAGGTGTGAAACAGATTATTCCCTGGGACCAACCGCGTACGGCGTTCCGCGAAGCATAACTACAAAATAAGCATCGCGTCAATTGTCAATTTAGTTCCTGCCATTATTCGCCTTGTCTTGTTCTCCAACGTTTTTAAACCCAATCTCACCTGTTATAATCATTGTAGAAGTATTTCTACCATTACGAGGGGGTAATTCTTTCTGATGAGTACGTTTAATGATTCTTCCTGAAAGTTTTTTCATCTTATTTTAGCCATAATTGTCACGGTTGTTCCTCGTTTTTCCGAACATATGCAGCATCATACACTGAGTTTGACCGAGACGAGCAGTATTTTACTCCCTTTTTATTTCCGTCAAGCGGGGGTTCAATTCGTTCATTTTCCACCAAATCAGACAGCTTAACAATGTTAGAAGCTGGTCGGCACATTTGTTATTCCTCTCTTCTGAACTTTTCTATTAAAATAGCCACTTATTTTACCATTGCTATTTTCGTTAAAACCGATAAGGCGCAACTCCTCAGGCTGTATTCCATATATCTCCTTCTTGGCCGTAAAATCGAGGATGACGTTACGTAATTTTGACAATGTTACGAAATATTGAACGGCTTTCATCACAGATTATTACTTGCCAATCTTCAACTACGCAACTTTCTCCAAATACAAATTGTGGTCACTGTTTTTTCAACCATCGAAATTATCGCAGTGACGCCTATTTGATTTTGCACTGTGTTTGATTTTGACGAACGGGATTTTATGCATCAATTATTTCTGTTAAAAAACTTCATATTAACCCATTCTCTACCCAGGTGGACAGATTAACGCTATTAAAAGTTGGTGGGCTTTTTTTTTTATTTTCCTATTTTGAGTAGTGCGTTGTCACTGCACCAATGTTATTTTTGTTCGCATCCAACATGGCTGACTCCATAGTCTGATCCCACATTACTTTATTGTGGGCAATTAAATCAATGTTTGCGTCTCGTAACTTTGATAACGTTACGAAATATTGAACAATTGTCCTCGTAGATTCTACATGTCAAACTTCAGCTACATAACTATCCCAAAATAAAACTTGTGGTTACTGGTTTCGAAATTTTAGCAGTGTCGATTTTTCCCCTACGACGAGTTCCGTTATTTTAAACTGCGCTAATTTACGTAAAACTAAAAATGTAAGAATGCTTTGACTTAGAACATCGAACGCTTAGACAATTTATGTATTGGTGGACTATTTTTTGTTTTTTTGTTTTACAACGCGTTATGTTAGGGTGTAACTTTGTTTGTTTACATGCAGTGCTATCTTGTATCAGATCGTCTTCAGAAAAACGGACATCTTCCAAAACAAAATCACAGACAACGTTAGCATCGTCGAACTCGATGTACTAGTAATCTCCGTAAGATTTCTACCTGGCTACAATCGCTAGTTTGTTTTGATTCTGAATGACCTCCACAAAACTAACTACGCAAGCGCAAATCTGTATAACGCTCTGCATGCTGGGATTTTTCTGACCCTTATGAATATTCAAAACCTTTCCGCAAACCATTGCTGCTGATCGTAGGTGTGAATAATCTGTTTACCCGTACGCGGATAGATGGTCTGTCGTTGCCAGACCGGTGATAGAGGACTGTGGTGTGACTATGTGTGATGCCGATTACAAATTGATGCACTGTGGTTAATAGGAAAGTGCACAAAATGCAAAATAAAATGCACTGTCGCAGTGTAGATATGAAGACACATTCACAGCTATTTCACATTTGTCTGCAGTCTATATGTTTATTATGTTGTTGGGAGTAATTTGCAGTATGTTGAATAACCAAGTAAAAAACTAGGTGGACCATGCAAATTACATTTCCCATGACGCACTAGTGCAATTCCTGGGATTGCGGAGCCGCGCTTTAACTGTTTCACTAAGTGGCTTACTGCGTAGGGCAGTACTTTGTCACCCAATGACCAATGATAACAGTAATTAATTTCTTTGTTCTTAAGTAAAGGAATTCCATAGCACCAAGGAATGTTGGAACCAATCGGACTATAGTTTGTAATCGAGGTAGAGACTTTGTTAACAAAATTGGTACAAATACCTCCACGGTATGCTATCACCCGTATATACTTATATTATGTCCAGTATTGTGGTAGAATGGAGTTTGTTAGATAGCCACTAACTTGAGTTATAAATCGTTTAAACGAGTTAAAAAAATTGGACCCGTGGGGTGGCCGGAAGAGTGTGGCACTGCATTTTTTCGCGGTGTCTTGTCTATAGTATACACCTCCGAATTTTGCCTGCAATTTTTCTTTTTTTTTCCAATGTCTACCTACCTACCGCCCCACGATTTCATGTGGTTTTCGACCCCTAAGTTTCATTAACACTTTGAAAACAATTAAAATTTATTTTATCTTGTCAGCATAACATATCTAGCATGACGTCCTTCTTGCGCTCTCTGAGTGGTCTAACCTGTTGGAGCAAGTTTGCTGACCTCCTATAACCTCCGGCAGCACACGAGTAACGAAATACAAACACATTAACAATTCAAAATGGCGACAATCTACGTGGAAAATGGCAAAACCTGTGCATTTTTGGTATTTTGATCCTTTTTATCAATTTTTGGGAATACCATAGCAACCGAATTATTGCAGTACAGAAATAGCTGCCAAATGAATATTTGTGTGTGTGGTCGATTTGTAATATGGCTTCTTCAAGCCCTCACAGACAGGCTTTAAACATCGGTAACACAGGAAAATCCCGTGCAGGTCCAACGATAAAGTGGAAACGGTGTGTACTTTGCATCGAAACTGACAGTGGAGGCAAATCTGATTTCAAAACATCGACAGAATTTATTAGACATTTAAGAGAACACCATTGTTCAAAAGAAGGTGGCTCGTATGTCTGTCGCTATGGCCACAATGGGGTGTGTCCATCGCTACCATTGGAAGGAGTAAGTGACCGTGATTATGAAGTTCACGTTGCTCGTCAACATGCCTGCTTAACTGAAGGTAAGACAATTCATAGTAATGTTTGACATCGTATTAGGATTATGACTTGTATTACATGACAAATGTAGTACTATAGTATCTGTAGTACAGACAATGCACTTTAAACACTAAAACACGTACCACAGTCTGGGTGTATTGTAAGTCTCATGAAGGTGCGACAATGTCATATAAATCATTATCGGATAATTATCGGATAATAAAATCTAATGAAATGTTGGCATTACTAACCCGTGTTACGTTTTTTCTCCGATAAAGTCTAAGTTAGGCACCCATTTCTGAGCAACTGTTGGGGAAGTTCGTTTTTCTTTGATATTATCTAATAAAATCTAATGAAATTTTGGCAGAGATGTCTAGCTTAGACATTATTAGATGATAATATTGATATTATCGATAATACCAGAGAAAAACAAACTGCTACCCAAAACAAAGATGTCTAACTTAGACATTTTTAGACATTATTAGACGATAATATCGATAATATCTGAGAAAGACAAACTGTCCCATAGTTGCCTGAACAGACCTGTCTAACTTAGACATTATTAGACGATAATATCGATATTATCGATAATGTCGGAGAAAAACGATCTGCCCCAATAGTTACCCGAAGAGAGGTGTCTAACTTAAACTTTTTAGAGATTATTAGACGATAATAACAGAGAAAAACGAACTGTCCCAATAGTTGCCTGAACAGACTTGCCTATATAACTTAATATCGGATAACATTAAAAAGTGCAATGCCGCGCCTTCCTCAAAAGACTAATATAGCTGTAGTTCATGGTCCCATAGGCCGTTTTTTGATTTGCTTGTCATCGGCCTAATTTGCCAGCATGTAGTAATCAACAAGAGGAAATGCTAAATGAAACAAAAACAAAATAAAGTTAAGACAATCTGGAGCTAAACACAGTCAGCTGGTGTACAGATGAGAATACTTAATGAATGCGATTAATTTAGGCAGAGGGTTCTCCGAACTCCTATTCACATAGCTCATACCCACCATAGACTCCGGTCAGTCAAAATGACTATTTTGAGTTGTAGGCATTAATCAGCGATTCTGCCAATGACAGAGAGATAGAAGCCAAAATGCTGCTACGGTGATAGGGTTCGGTGTGCCCGAGAAAGCTAGACCCCAACCCAATTCTGGGGGTAGTAAGCTTTTGAAGTAAAGACCGAAACAGTTCTGCATGAGGGCATAGGCCGAAAAGCGGGACCTGTGAGCTTCCCAGGAGTGCTGATGGTAGAGAAGTCTGTCCACAAAAAATGATGAGGCTGACTTATTGCCTATGCGCAGGGACCCTTGTGGTCATTCGGGCTGGGTTAGCAAACCAAGACTAAGCCGCTACGACGGGACACAACCTTAAGGAGACCCTCCTCAATGGATTCAATGGACTCTTAGGTAGTGGTTGATAAAGTTGATAAAGACGTTCTGTGTTCTCCAGAAGCCTGCCCTCAGTGTGTGCTCAAGGGGGGGGGGGGCACCTGACGCTAACACTAATGAGTTAGCAATCGCACAAGACCTCATGTGCTCGTACTTGGTGTCTCTGCAAGCTTTGTGTCGAGGCAGTTAAAGTATTATAGACCTAAAATTAATTAACTAGCATATTAACTAATTACTAACAACTCTGAAATGTCACTGTTGTGTTACAGAAGTTGAATAACAGACTAAGGTAGAACTATGAATAAGAATTTTAGAAATAACTCTCTCATGAGAGAGGTCATTCAGAGTTTTGAAATTTTCAAGAAATTTAAAGATCTTCTCCATAGATTGCCTAAAAAGATTATATAGAGCAGTTCACACATTCTATGTATTGATTGATTTTAAATAATACATATATGAACATCATGTAAATATTCTTAATTCCAGTGTCTGGTTACAGTAGCATGGAACTATCACCTACAAATTCTGCACCTTCGGTAGTTACGGATCAGGACCAATGGACGGTATATCATTCCACACAAAACTTACCAGCTGTACTCAATGATCCAAGAAAAGCTAAACGAGAACCTGATTTCTTTACAAAAACCTGGGGAGAAGGTTTTGAAAAAAATGATATATTACCATCACCATTTGTGCCACAAATCACCAGGATCCATTTTGAGAGATATCTCAGGAAGACGTCAGCTGTAAGTCATACACCTTCATTCATTGCCATTTAATTTGTGAACAATAATATGTAACACAGATCGACCAAAAAAGATATAAAGAAATGTAAAATTATCATTTGTGCTCTCTTTGTTTCATGATTTGTTTCACAATGGCCAACTGCTATTGTAAATTGTACCAGTATGCCATGTATTTTTTTGTTTTGATACAATGGTCCTGACATTCTTCCAACTTTTGTGTCCTCAATGTCAATTCAGCCAAATAATCACATATGTCAATGACAGTAACTTGTTGACAATTATCAGTAGTTCTAGTTGATACTTGAAGAGCTGTATTACCATTCACCTTGATTTTGTGATGTCACTGGTATCAACATCAGTTCAGTATCTTTCATGCCAAGTAAATGTTCTTAATTTTTGCAGAAATTTAAGTTCCATAAAAAGATGCAGCAATCGATTCTTGACAATGAACTCCATGAACATCAGCGTCCAGTAGTACCAGCTCACCGAGGTTGGTTCTTTTATTTTACACTCTGATTTACCTATTCATAATTGTAACCAAAAAATTGTTAAGTACAGCATTGTACATGTATACTTGTAACATTGATAACTTTGTAGTGAGAATAAAATGCACAATATGAAGCTTTCATGTTTTGAAATCATATGATATTCTTTTTCCTGTATCAGATAAAAGTAAGGCTGATCTAGAACAAGTCCCAAAGGTGTGTATACCATTATCAATTTGTTGGGGCTAAAATTTTAACATGTCAATGATGCTATTTTCTTTAGCAATTCACTTGATAGAGTCAAATAGATTGGGTTCTGTGTGTCTGCTATTTTGTATGTTCTTATTTCGATGTATTTTGAATAAGTATGATGTCACTGTGAAGGAGTGATCCTCATACAGTATATTGGCTGTAGGGTCTGCCTTTCAGAAATTTATGAATCCAAGACACATGAGTAAGGGTGTCACACGCAACGTAATATTACCGTAATTGGTATAGTACAGGTGTGTTGGCTCAAATACCAAAATGGCAACAGTAACAGAAAGACTTCCCTGGCGGCGATGATAACATATGAACACGGAGCCAACAGATGAGGTTTCAACTGGTACTGGTATTATTATACTCTGCAAACGGGTCCTACTATTTAACGCCCGGACACGCGAGGGAGTGTCCGGGCACGCGCGGAGGCGAACAGGGGGGAATACCTAACGCGCGGGGCAGCGGCAGCAATCCTTGTACTGTATAATATTCGTTTA